TTTGCCGTTCAGCCGAAGAGAGACGGTATGGGCGGCGGCGTACAATGGAGCTGCCTTCGGTTTCGATGCTGTGCTCTGCAACGGAGGTGCGGCCCAGAACTTTGCAATGTACATCAAACGAAAGGCTGTGCTTTTGGAGAAGGTCTAAGAGGTCTCTCTTTTGCTCGGCAGTGAGGTGAGGACTTATGGTGTCATTTAAGGTAACAGTGGTAGCCTTGATATCAGTAGTAGCAGACAAAGGCGGTGATTCTGCGTGAAGGGGAATCAGTGAAAAGGACTCACTGTCAGCGAAGCAGCTCACAGCAGTGCCCTGGGGCAGCATCACTGGCGAAGAAGTTGGATTCAAGGCGGTGACCAATGCTTTACCGTCGTTAAACCGCACAAGGCCGGGTGCTATGGTAAGCCCCGCAGGTTTCGAGCGAACTGATGGAGCTATGAACACGTCACCATTAACTATAGTATCCGAAGCGATCGTTAGAAGTTGTTCATCTCCTGGCGAAATGAAACAATCAGTAGCAGCAATGAAACGGAAGCTGTATGGATCGACATCCGATGAACTCTCAGTGGCTGACATTCGAATGACTCGCTGACGACACGATATGAAAGCTGATGCCGAAGAAAGGAAGTCCCATCCTAAAATTACTGTGTGAGTGCACAAAGGAAGTACAAGAAACTGAATGTGGTGAATGATGCCATCTATGAAAACACGGACTGTGCAAACACTTGAAGGCTGAATAGGGACTCCATCTGCGCAACGAAGGGGAGGACCATCGTAGGGCGTCCTAACTTTTTTCAATCGGGCACAAAAGTCTGCACGAATTACGGAATGTGATGCGCCTGTGTCCACCAGTGCCTCTGTCTTTATACCTTCAACATACACCAATAAAACATTCGATGGGCGGTCCGGAGGAGTTTGACGCAGTTCGAAAGATGCAGCTTTCCCTCCCGAAGCTGCACTGTTCAGTTTTCCAGTTGGCGGTCGGGAATTGAAGTAGAAGGTCGGAGAGGAGAAGAAGAACGCCGCATCGGTGAAGGTGAGCGACGACGTGAGAACCGGGAACTGCCAACTGGGTGAAAGTTCTGCGGAGACGGCGACCGACGTGTGCTGTTCGGATACAGCCGACGATAGGGGGGTCCAGTCGCGTAGAAGTCGTCCCGTTCAAGGTTATCGTAGCCTCGTCGTTCGTCTTGCTGACGGCGTCGGCAAAACCTTGAAATATGACCACGGATGCCGCAATAGAAGCAAGTCGGCCGCGAACTGCGCCAGGTGTTGTAAGGCTGGGAAGATGGTCGCGGTGCGAGTGAGTTGAGCGAACCATGTACTTCGGGCGCTGGTAGCTGCATTGGGCTTTGCTGGGGTGCAGGCGTCCTAGCAGCAACCTGAGCATACGTTGGCATGGCCACAGGATATGAGCTCGGGACAGGTGTGACAGTCATCGAGGCCAGGCTCTGGTGGGGCGTAGGTGTCGTTGCAGCAACGTGAGCATAACTGGGCATGGAATGTGAACTCGGAGCTGGTTGTACTAGTCATCAAGGCCAGTTCCTCCCTCACGACATCGCGCAAACTAGTGGCGGGTGGCGTCGTTCGGATATCGAGGTGGCGAGGTGAAGCCTGTGCGTGAAGTTCCTCGCGGATGATAGAGCGGATCAGTGCACGCAGCTCTGTTGTATCTTGACTGGAGCTCAGATCAGACATATCAGGTTGTACCCGAGTGGTCTGAAGCTCCTCAAGGCGCTGACAGGTAGCGACAACATCGGCTATGGTTTGCGGATTTTGCACCACAAGCGCATTAAAAGCGACAGTCGCAATTCCTTTTAGTAGGTGGCGCACACAGTCGTTTTCCGCCATATTGTTGTCGATGCGGCGGCAAAGGGCGAGAACATCTTCGATGTAAGAAGTGTAAGACTCGCCAGGGCGTTGAACACGTGCGCCAAGCCTCTTTTTGGCGATATCCGAGCGCACTGACGGGTTGGCGAAAATCTGGCGGAGCTGACGTGTAAAGGCGGGCCATGTCGGAAAATCTGTGGCGTGGTTGAAAAACCACGTTTTTGCGACGCCGCTCAGGTAGAATGCAACGTGGGTGAGTTTTGCAGGCTCATCCCAGTTGTTGATAACACTCACGCGGTCATACTCCTCCAGCCAGTCTTCAACGTCTTCACCCGGAAGCCCTGCGAACAGCGGAGGATCCTTTTGAGGGCTGGTGACCAGGTGAGAAGGGTTTCTTGCCGGTGGGAGCGGTGGCGAAGCTGGCACGCTGGACTGGGCGGCTTGCGACATTACCGGACCCAGGTCGTTTAAGCGGCGGCCTGAACGGAGCTCCAGGGATGTGTTCTAGAAGACGCTGGGGTGTCCGAGAACGCGAGAGGACGCAGGAACCGGGCAGCACTCTCCACCACTTGTAAGATGGCGTCGAGAACACTCGAGACTCTCCTTTTATTGACTCGAGTATGTGCCCCACAACCTAAACTTGACTGGTGATGATGAGTATTTACAGATGAAAAGATGGGACGCATAAATAATGCTCACAATATATATATATATATATATATATATACTATATATATATATTTATATATATATACTCTCGTAGGTATGTGCGTTTTTGCTTCATCTCTTCAACCACACTGAATTCACGTGTCATTTTCAGTTTCGGCTGTTACAGAACTGACAACTGGTTCTGTAACAGCAAGCATCTTAAGTGCAGGCATGCGATTGAATCGTGCATGTCTTTCCGATTGAAATTCATAGTATCAACAGGCATTCAATGTTTATTTCCAATTGAGGAGCCATCCCAATTAGGCACACGCTAGAGAACGAGCGAGTACCGGTTTGTTCACTTTCCCAGTCTCTGTCTTCGGTAGGGAGTCCACAATGTAAATACCCCCGTGTAAACGCTTATGCAGGGCCAGGTGGGCTGCGAAAATGACGACAAAGTCTCAGTCACAATGAAGCCAAAAACAAAAAAACGAGAAAATTACAAAAACTTCAAATATTTATGGTTGCCTAAGTGAAGGTATTTTGGTGACACCACGATCAAAGAGTGATAGCTGTGTCAATGCCCAGTATCTTTAAGATTTTATAATGCCATTGGGGCCTCTGTCACGGGTATGCGCGGAAGTTTAAAGGAAATGTTAAAAAAAGGTTATAACAAAAGTCAGATGGAGTGGCGCTCTCTCATTCTCGAACTCTTTATTGTACACTCACTCTAGCATCGCGAATTTATAATATAAAAGTTTTACAGCTTTGCAAAACTCCGATGTTGTCCTTGACCTGACAAAGAAATGTCAAACGTGTCACAGCACAAAAAAGTACAAATGCACTGAAGACCTCCTCACAAGTAATTATTTTATTGTGTATGAGCGTTCAAGCTTTTGTATCCTTTCGACCCTATACTCACGAAGGTTATTTTCTGTGTTCAACATCATGTCGTCCAACATGACATGATATATTGACTAAATTCCTACTTCGATGAGACATGGTTTGCAAAGTACCACGTCTATACGTGAACTTCGGGGTGCTCACTTTTTGTTTTTGTGTCAGTGTGCTAAAACGCCTTATGAAAAAGTTGTTGACAACGTGAAGTACATTTTTGAAGCAAACTAGCATTTTTTTCGTGAGACTATGTCTTGAGTATTGAAGTGAATTGAAATAAACTGATTTTAATTTCCATAAAAGTTGCGAGAATGAATAGGCGAAAAAGCTACATTGAGCAGTTTGAGTAGCACAGGAAGTGGCTTCTGTACTTTCATCATGTAGGCACAGGCTTTTTAGTCAAGGGAAACATCATCCATCAAGTTTATCGTGTTTAGCGTTTGTATTTGTGGTTAATTCACGTCACGTAATACAAATTTGGTATGTGTGAATCTAGCGAAACGGCTGCGAGCGCGCTATGAGCGCAGCATGTTACAATGTTTCACATGACACTCATATAATGGTTATCCTGTTTTTACGTGTCATTTATCATCGTCATTGGTTCGCGTCACGTAATTCCAATTTAGTGCATGTGAAGCTAGTGAAACGGCCACAAACGCATCGTGAGCGTGGCATGTAGCCATTTCTCACATGACACGCATTTTACGATTATCGTGTTTGCACCAGTCTAGTACTTTCGTCATTCATCCACGGCACGAAATACCAAATTTGGTATACGTGAAGCAAGCAAAACGACCACCAGCCCGTCATGAGCGTGGTGGGTAGCCATGACTTTATAAGACATGCATGTCATGATTTCTACCTTAAGGTCGCAAATATTTGCCACGCAGTCACGTCATACCACATCGATTTATCAATTTGCCATATGAAAGAAACACCCCAACGCAGCAAGACTGGACATGTAAATCATGACATTCGTGACATAAGTGTCACAATTTTTATGTTATGACTATGGTCAGTTATGCTCATCATACAGTCATCTTATGCCGTACCAATTTCGGGAGAGATACCATTAGTGAAGCTTCCAGTAAAGCTAAAAGTTAAGGTGGCTACATAGACAAACAGATCAAGTCAAAATCACCAAACTTCACTAAAGAATTCTTTGAATTTAAAAGGCGTCACACGGTCTTCCATCTGCTTAGCAAGACAGGGTTGGTGGAAGGGATAGCTATCACGGTAGAGTGTGTAACAACGCACACACTAAACGCTGTGATTGCAACGTTGGCTACTAACTGCTAAAGTTCTGCCTCAGAAACACTAGACTATTGCAGTCGTGTAATTAGGCACACATAATCAGTGTTTAAAAAGGAATGAGGTTGCATGCAAATTTTGATTAAATGAATGCTTGTCAAAGAATTGATGAAAGTTCTCTTCACGTTACAGCCGACTACATGGGCGATAGCCATTGCTACGAAATTGAGATGGTTGACGACAAAAAAAAACTATCATCAAAAAATGCAGAGAACCAGAACACAATAGAAAGCAGGGATTCAAACTTGAATTGGAGAGAGAAAGTACGATGTGGTGGTGGTGTATGACTGTTTCCTTTTAGGAAAGAAAAAAGCGATCATGGCATGGTCTCTCGAGCTTGCTTACTTGAAACAGTAGTCTTTATCTCAGCCACGAGAGTGGCGATGTCTTGCTTCTTGCCTTCTTCTGTGAGAACGATGGCCGCGGCTGGAGCTTCTCCGTACTCTGAGTGCGAAAGCCCTACGACAGAAACTTCGGTGATATATGTGGTGTGTACGCGGAGCAGCAGTTCTTCAATCTCGGATGGAAAAACTTGACAGTCCATGCACTTTACCATTTGCTTGAGGCGTTCGCAGAAGTATAGCTGACCATCATGGTCGTAGTACCCAGCGTCACCTAAAAAATACAAACGAATAATAGAGAGTTTCAATGCTGGGTGACGAAGTGCTTGTGACTCCGAAGGCTTAAGGGCGCGCGGCGTTGCGTACCCAAAAGGAATACATTTTAGCGTCGTGTACGCAAACGCGAGCCGCACGAAGGTCACACGCGCTCACTGCGTCTAGTGAAGTAGTTACATTTTCTTACAATTGAAAATGTTCACTTAAGCAAAAATAGCAACATGAATTACTCTGAATAAAACATTCTTAAATGTATGACAATGTTGTACACCCAGGCCAAAAAAGCAAACATTTTTTTTCGTATTTTTCGTAAAGCCGATGCCAAGCAATACAGGCGGGCAGTCGTATAGTCTGACGACGATGTAACTTTGTGTAAACGACGTACACTAGGACGTGCATGAATAGGACTAGCAGTGACTGACTTCACCGTGCCACAGTTGCACTGTCGGCGTTGCAGCGTGCTCTGCGAGCAGAAGCTCTACCTCGAACTTTTTCGGGTAAAGATAGAGGAATTGTCCATTACCTAAACGCGTAAACAATGGCTATGCAAATCAGCTTCTGGCCATGTGGACGTGAACACCACGAATAAGTTTCGTGGCCTATCTAATACTGTCTTCGAACAGGCCCTCGGCCAGCACCTCACGCAGCACGAAAATGTCCACCTCCTGGCACAAAGTAAAGCCTTGCGCTGCGCTGGTTCACCTGAGGTGGCATCTGGGAATGCGACCAAGCCGTGTTTTTTCGAGATTTGGCACCTCTGTGTTCGGTAGTAGGGCGGATGGCTCTGGCGAGCTTTGGCTTTGCTCGTCGTGAACGTGGGTTACATGACGGGTAACATGTTCTGCCAGATTTAGAAGTTTCTAACGATAAGGGGCAGCCAATGTTCATTAGAAGGCCAGTGGTGGCATCGATATTTATGGCCACATGGGCATAAGGCCCTAGCAACCCAGCGACGCATCTGCTTGAAGCTTCGCTCACGCGTAGCACCGTCGCCCCTACGTCCGGGATACCCAAGCCGCTTGGGTACCCAGCAATAGAACTCTCTGATGTTACTTACAAGTAATGTTACCTTCAAGAACTTGGCATAGTTAAGCACGTTTAGACTGGGATTGAGCATATATATACGTGTATGTCATAACTCATACACATATGAGCGATTTCCAACAAGAAAAAATTATCCGAGCAAGATGCTAAAAGAGCTGCTAAAAGCAGTGGCAGTTTAAAGCCATGGCGAAACGTTAAAGGGTGCAACAACAAATAGTAACATTGTAAAAACTTATGCTAGCAGCTCAACACTCAAATCATTTGAGGAATAACGGGACAATTCTGTGTCACTTTTTTTCCACCAAAAAGCTGCCTCAGAAGCTGCAATTCTCATCGCCATCAGCACTGTGATTTTCTACTTGAATGGGTAAGAAATGTTTAGAAAACAAAGAAAAACACCTCAGACGTCTACAATATAAGGCGTTGGTTTCACTACGTATGATTTTTTATAGATTTTGTACCATTGCAAGGCTGATAGCTGAAGTTGTAGATTTATGCTAATTTTTTCTTTTATGGATATCTAAGAACTTTGTTTGAGGAATGATCTGCGAACTAAGTTTGCAAATCAAGCAGTGTTTCGGTCAAAAATTGTATCGAAGCGTAGTAAGTCAAATGGTACCATGGCTTGATGGCTTTTAGCGTTTGTTGTGTCATGTTTGAAACATATTTTTATTGTGCATGGTTTTCGTGTATTTTATTATAATTTTTGTCCCCGTGTGCGTGTGCTGCCGCTAAAAGATGAACAAAATGATCTGGCGTAGCTTAGTAGAGTACTGTACAGTAGAGTATAGATGAGTACTGGGCTGCACCGCAGAGGACCTGGGTTCGATTTCCAATCTGTTTGGGGTGTTCTTATTTATTTGATATTGTTTTCTTAATCCGCGCAATAGTGGTTAAGCACACTGGCCGCGGCTGCGGCAGCGGTGGACAACAACGCGGCCAGAATCAGCCCTTTTTGTGATCTCATAACACCTTTCACTGCAAACCCCAAACCTGGATATCTCATCAGGGTATAGATTCAAGCTAGCTGGAGTTTCATGCTTCACTACATCTTCTGCCAAACGTTTTTAGACAAAAACAAAAAAAGACACAGACAAGTGCAATTCGCTACTGAATTTATTACTAAATTTTATTAAAAGATACGCCTGTCTGTGTTTTTTTCGTACTTTGCCTAACACATTTTTACGCGTAAGGTTGTTGATAATAATATGCAGCCTCACCCGACTTGCTCCAGCCTTCTTCGTCGAAGAGCTCAGCAGATTCACGTGGCCTTTTGAAGTATCCTCTCACCATAGTAGATGGTGTTCGAAAGCAAATTTCCCCGATCTGGTGCGGGCCGAGCTTTTCACGCGTGCTCACGTCCACGACCTGAGGACAGGAATGTAATGGCTGTAGGAGGGCTTCAACAATGAGTACGAGAAATACTGAGTTCACTTCTCTTCCGTATAATCCAAGTTATCAATAGGGTGGTGCCGCTAAATTTCTGGCATGTGTGTTCTTTGCTGTAAGCGCATACGTGTTCTTTGCTTTGCTGTAAGCCTACCAGCCCGGCACAGCCGGTGGGCTGGGCCGGCCGGCTAAGGCACTATTGAAGTGGGCCGGGCCAGGGCTTGGGTCGGGCCCGGGCCTGAGCAAAGCTCGTTCACCCGGGTCTCATAGACCAAGCGTTTCAAGAAATGTGTTCAGTATTACTTAAAAATGACAGACAGAAGACATCTGCATACAACCCGCGGCGTTTCTTTGAATTTGGCAGCAGGCATTTTTAAATGCGTAGAAACATAATTACGAGAGAAATTGAAGAAGTTTAACATACCAACTTTCTATACAACCTAAAATAATGACTTTTCTTATTGAGGGCGTTTTCAAAATGAATGGTAGATGCGCAGCTTGGTACGTCGGTTTTAGTTTGGCCTGCTGAATCAGCTACACTGCATCTTTCCACGGTGATTACCTCAGGCCGTCTTTCCGAATTTGAAAAGTGCCTATACACTATTCGTGGGAAGCATTTCATTCACCCATTGGACTCGACCGGCTATTTTCATTGGTTTGAAAAGTGATATTTATTCGTTTATGTAGTTACTGCCGTAATTAGTGTAGATATAAGCGGTCGTTCTTTCTTTCATCTGCGGTGACGTTACTGAAGCTTCAAAGACGAACTTTACGAAGTCATCATCGCAGAAAGTAAACCATTAGCAGATGCAGTTGTTTTCCCAAGTGTGGCCTACGAACGTGGAATAAGTCTTCTGATTGGATGTGACCGATTGGGGAAACTAATGCCAAATAAGAGAGCAGTCTGGCGTCGGATAGCACAGCAGTAATCGCTATAACAGGAAAATAGAGGGCACTCTCAAAGGACCATCTTAACTTGAAGAGCAAAGTGGACAGTTTGCAAGCAGTCGTATCTGCGTTTTGCAAACAGGTATTTGTGAAGTAGAGAATTTCTTTTATTCGTCACAACAGGTTTCGGAGCTCGATACACGTGGTACTGTAGCAAGCAAGATATCGACACAACAGGATTCAACGAAGTCATCAACTCCCTACATGGTCGCCATGAAGTTGCAATACGAAGGACATCAGCGAAGGATCGCGGCAGTGTTCCAATTACCGCGAAGAAAGAAACAGTAGAACATTGTGTGAAAAGTACAAGCCACCCAAGAAAACCTACCTACGGAGAAGATCAACACTGATAAAATGTCAGAAGCAATCCACGAAACATGTACAAAAAGTACCCCAGCTGTGTGAAAGGAGCAGAAGAGTATCCTTCAATGTCCAACTTGATTAGGGAGTGGAAGACAAAGACAGTCTTGGCATCTGAATTCCCTTCGACAACGCGAAAATTTCAGAGCACCGCAAGTTGCCTGATAGGCTGCGCCCATGTCAGCATTATGCGCTCCTCAATTCGAGTGATGTGTAAAGAAATTTATTCCTCACGGACAGTGAACATCAATTACAATCCAACAGAACAACGTGACAGAACACAGCGTACACAGACACACCAAAAGTTGTTACAAAAAGATATGTTTTCATATGTCCACGGAACATAACATACACAAATACACAATAATTGTTACGAAAAGATATGTCTGCGTATGCACAATACATTGGTAAACAAAAAATGCATGTGATGCATAAACTGTATGTGATGCAAATAAGTGTACACGTTCTTTCACCCACGAAAGACAACGCTGTGCACAACTCTTCTCAAACTGACCTGCAATGTAGTACTGGTGGCAGGTTTCTTTTCTGCGTATTTGAACGATAAAGGATCGCAGTGAGTGGGTCAACTAAAAGCCTACTGATATATTCACCTTTTTGGAGGTTCCCGTTAATGAAGTTGAAATGTCCTTCTCTATACCTGCTTCGCCCTTCTAGAATTGTAGCTCGTGCTCGGCTCACGTGACAGACAGTCTGCCTTCTTCAGTGGGCGCTGCTGATGATCAACAGCATGCAAAACGCCAGGGGCGGAATGCTTTTTAGGTGCGAAGCTACTTAAGCCATGGTTCGAGCATTCACGTTGCATGCAGTATTAGTAGTAGTAGTAGTAGTAGTAGTAGTAGTAGTAGTAGTAGTAGTAGTAGTAGTAGTAGTAATAGTAGTAGTAGTAGTAAAGTAGTAGTAGTAGTAGTGGTGGTGGTAGTGCGTCGTAGTAGTAGATAGCCACCTCCACGGACTGACTAGAGAAGCGGCACGCACGCACTCATTTGAATTGAGGAGGAAACGCACGCACGTTAATCACAAAGAAAAGGATAGTTGTTTCTGACGAAATAAGCTAGAGTATCGGTCACCTAAACTTCAGTAAAATTTGCCTTGAATTTCATGCTTACTAAACAAAACTGTAGTATCAGAAGGACGTACTTTGAGCTCTATCTGACCAGAAATTTAAGAATTGCCACGTCGAACTCGCTGGGCGTAACCTCCTTGGTTTTAGCAAGGGTAAGGCCACAGTGCAATGAACGTGAGGCGGTGAAAAGTTGGCCGTAAGAAAAGGCCGTAAGAAAGTTCGCGCGGGCCGCTCCTCTAGTCTAGCCGTGCCACTTCTAGTTTAGACCTTCGAATGTCCACTGAACGAGGGTACTTCTATATGATGAATATCATCATCATCAGCAGCAGCAGCAGCATCATCATCAGCCTGACTACGTTCACTGCAGGACAAAGGCCTCTCCCATGTTCCGCCAGTTAATCCGTTCCGTTGCTTGCTGCTGCCAATTTGTACCCGCAAACTTCTTAATCTCATCTGCCCACCTAACCTTCTGTCTAGGTCATATATGATGAATATATGATGAAAAAGTGCCAGATGACGGTACTTGGAGTGTTCACTACATGTACGGATGCTTGAACGGACGCACGAAGGGACGCGCGGACGGACGAATAAATGGAAGCATAGATGAACAGATGGACGCACGGACGAATGCACGGACATATGGACGCACGGACGGAGGCACAAATGAATTAATGGATGTACGTATGAACGAACGAACGAACGGATGGACTCACAGATAGACGGACGCGCAGACGGACGCACGAATGGACGCACGGACGGTGGCACAGAGGGACACACGGATGGACAGACGGACGTTTGCTTCGCTTCACTGATCATCATGCACTCCGTGTATATAGTGTGATTTTTTACTTGTCTCTTTGCTAAAAAAATCTCAAAACATTCCTTCGTGTCAAAAGCATATGTATCTCAGTATCATATTCAGGCCTTTGTTATCTCTCTTCCAGAATTATTTGTTATCTCTCTTCCAGAATTATTTTTTCAGTGTATCTCTGTTGAGCCCTGTATCCAAATAGGTACACTGATATCTATCTATCTATCTATCTATCTATCTATCTATCTATCTATCTCTCTCTCTATCAAGCAACCTACGTCTCAGTTGTCTGGTGATCACGTCGTTAACTTGGGTTATAACAAAAAAGGAGTAAAAGAAGGTAAAAGCATGTGGCATTTGTGTCTGGCTGGTCCAACATGACTATTAATAGCATACGAAGTGGCGCATGGGTCCACTTAAAGTTTCATTCATCTGAGCCACCTTGTCCAATGTTCAAGCGTCCTTGCAAGAGAAGTACACCACTATTTCACTGTAGTTTTTGATGCTGTACTCGTCCGGAACTCTTGTTGGAGCACGCCACAGGGCTTCATCTACACAACACGTGAGAGCACGTGGGTGTATAGCGCGTCTGCATAAGCTCGTTCCCTGAGGCCATCACGTCGTTGCTCATAGAATGTAAGGTGGAGACGCCAGGGCCTCTTAAAGTCACTTCCACAGGGCCGAACATGCAAGTGCAGAAGTTTGTTCTGGCAGTGCTCGGTCCAGCTGTCTTGAATGTACAGTAAGGGTGGTCACGCAAAACCACTGGAATAAACTCAGTCATAAGCTGTTTCGCTCTTCAGACGCGAAGGAGCTCTTTGACTAGCCTGTGTCCGCCCGTCCACATCACTACCCTCGCCGCAGGTGTTTAGGCGGTGCCAAGTAGCTCGTCCCTTCCTAGCAATGCACGTTCACATCTCTCTTCCTCGTCTGCCACGCACTCACCGCTTGTCAGCTCTCTCTCACTTCACCTTCTCCACTGGTCGCAACACTCGTGCACACTCTTCACGTGTATATCATCGCAACCACGCCACCTCTCTCCACTTGTTGGCGAGAATAAGGCGCGAGCTGACGTGTTCGTACCTCGAGAATCTTGCGGCACCGACAATAGAAAGATTTATTTTGGCGCGCTCAAGGTGGTACGTGAGCAAAGGCTAGCGCGCTACGTACGTTACAGCTGAGCCTGCTTCATACAGTATTAGTTTAGCGTACGCGACAACTGACAAATGGACTGCGCCTAAACGTTAACACCTTCGCCTTGGAGTGCTTCTTTGCGCCACCTAGCGACTACGCAATAAACTACCATAGCCAACCATAGTTGACAAGAGTCAACACATGAGACTTAAAACGGTGGACATTCCAGGCGTTGGAAGGCATCCCCGCCAGCTGCTGTATTTTAATAGTGATTACTGTTCATTGCACGGAGTCCGTGAACTGATTTAAGCTCCTCACGTAAGCAAGGAGCTCCTAATCGAGGGCAACCATAAAATGTATGTGGGATTTACTCGCAGCCATGACCGCACTGCTGCTTATGTTAATGTTGGTCGCGGTCATCTTGGTTTTTGTGTTCTAACCAAGGAGAGATCTCACAGCGGTTGTAGCGTGTGCAACGTCAGAGCCGAGATCTAGTGTGCGTTTTCCTCGCGGGTGCAAACGCACGCATCTCTCCTACGTACAGCGCATGCGCAGCCGTGCTTTCAGGCGATGCGTGAACTAGGCCGTTGCGCGCGTTAAACTAATGCTCTCTAATGGCGAAAGCGCGCCACTGCTTGCCGC